CTTTCTTTGAAACTTACATCAAAGGTATCTGTTAAAACACCTATTCCAAAACACCCTGCCATTTGCTAATTAAAAGGAAGCAAATTGGTAGTTAAGAGTGGCTTCATCTTCATTTATGTTAATGTGACATGTAAGGAGAAAGTGAGGACTTTCCTGTCTCTGTGTTTGCAAGTTTATTACTGAAGGTGGAGTACATGATGTTCCCTAGGACTTTTTCAAAGAAGATGAGAAGAACTCAGAGCTCCAAGTGTTAGCGTTTTCGATTCGTTAAGCTGCTATCTAGACATGTGAAAACTGTCATTGCCTACTGAGCAGTAAATGTGCCCATCAGTTAGGGCACAAACTCTTTTGTCTTTTGGAAACCAGAGGAGACAGAACTCAGTATCATTCAGGTGGCCTGTAATTGCTTTGTTTTGCACAACACTACATGAAGTGACTGAGTCTCAAAGTTGAAAGTGTTGCAGTAAAGATCTTAAATGGGTTTGGATGTGAAGCAAAGTACACTAGGTGCCTGGAACAGGGCAGCAAGAGATTTTTTATTGGTAAATTGAAGTTTAGTAGTTAGTTGAAGTGCTTGGTAGTTGAAGTTAGTATACTGCTTCCTAAGTCGACAAAACAGGAAAAAATGGTGTATGCACTGTGTAAATATGATATATTTATACACACATATTCTCACTATAGTTTGCTTTGCAGTTAAGCACGTAGCCATGTGATGATATGCTGTGGTATTATTAACTATATCAGAAATGGAAATGACAGTTGCCAAATGAACTGCAATAATAGGCTTCAGATTTTAGCTGAGTTGTGCATATTTTCAGAGATTTATTATTTTTTTTCCCACCCCAGAATCAGTATCTGTGACCCTGAGAACTGCAGGTACCCTAAAAGGAGAGTTAAATGATATAATCATGTTACAAATCATGCTTGAGGACCTACTCTGTCTTTTTGCCATGCCGGTTATGGTTTAAGTGTGTTGGCCATGCAAAGAAGAGCATCCCCAGTTGGGGCAGGCATGCTGTCAAGCAGGTCCCAAGCAGTAACTTGAATGGCTGGCATTTATAGAGGCCGTATGGTCACTGTGCTGATTTAGGTGCTCTGTGACCCCTTATGGGGAAAACTGGTCTGTAATTTTCTGTGTAATTATCAGTGACATGCTTGCACTCACAGTGTGCCTAAACAGTCTACTAGTAGCACAAAAAGTCATTTGAAGGTTTCACAAAATCTCAGACTTTTCAAATGCTTATTTTTAACTATTTTTCCATTCAGAAGGCTTTAAAATATGTTTTTTTAAATAGTTTTTCTTTTATTAAAAACCATCAACAATAGCAACTAAACCCGCATGAGAGTTATACAGGGTAATTTGAGTAATGATCCTAAGTTACTCAGTGATTCCTAAAGAACAACAAACTGTCCGACAAAAACTGTGATACAAATCACTTCCAAGAGAAAAGAATGAGTGGCTCTAGTAAAATCCAGCTCACTTCTGACATCCTGTTAGATTGAAACAAGAGTGAAATGTAAATAAGAACATGACTGCTTATATTGATAAGCGTATGGGGGGTTTGGTGTATGTAGTTACATTGGTTGAACAGAATCTCATACAAGAACAAAATTCATAGTAAAGATGTCTTTATTCCAAAATAATAATAATAATGTGTTAGCCCGACAGCTACAAACCATCTACACAAGACTTTGGTAAGAAATGTTCATGGTAGCTTTTTCATAATTCCACAGCAAACAAAAACAAGGAAGGAAATCTAAAAATGCAAACAAACAAAACTTTGTTTGAATCGTATGCTGCACACAGAGTCCTACTGTACAGGTGTTAAGCCCCTAACTTTTACTTTTTACTATGTGTAAAGCCTCTACAGTTTGTATGTTAGGGAAAAAAAACCCACAATGTACACACAATGCTAAGATCTGATTGTTGAGGTCTACAAAACTGTAATGACATCTGTGCTTTCAGTTCAGCAGGATTATTTGCAAGATAGGAGAGATAACAGTTCTTATTTTTATTGACTGATCATCAGTGGCTATTACACTACTAGAAAGTTTACAGTAACAATGCAATACTTTTAGAGATTGTGTTCAGAGCTTCTTTTCTGAATAGAAAATCAACCTTTTTTTTTTAATTTGTTTTTATTTGTGTGTGTTTTTTTTACAAAATGTAACAAGCTTAAATATTGTATCAAGTTATGGGAAGGACAAGTAGTTTGTAAAATGTTTCAACAGGAAAAACAGCGTGAAAAGCTGAACCCAAGCAGGAACCATCACATATTTCTGAGCCAGTGCAATCTATGGTGTTATTGCATGTATTAACAAAGTGTGGAGGGCAAAATTCAACATTCGTTACTTTAATAAGCCTAAGAGAAATGACTGGAAATCACACTGGGCAGCCTCCTAACAAAAAATATACAGAGAATCAAATTAGTAAGGACCACAGTGAAAGGGATGCCAGGTTGTTTTAATGCACAATTTTGTGTCACATTTGGGAAGATGTTGTGTATTTTCTACATACCTAAAAGTGTATTTGGACTATGTAGCCTTTGGCAAAGGGAGTAATTAAAAACCAAAATAGGTTAATGAAATGGAACAAACAAAATGAAAATACAGTGTTGTTTTTAATTGATTATTTGCAGAAACAGGCATGATTTTGCAAGGTTAAGTTGAACAAGTGGTAAGGATTGATGAGATAAATATAGTCCATAAACTCACTTTTTTTTTTTCCATTCAGGACAAACTTTTTTCCTATGCTCCCCCTGCCTTAAGCTCTCACAGACCCAAGTGTACAAAACCCACACTGTCACAGCCTCTGTCAGGCTCAACAAGAGCAGCTCACAAAGGTAGGTGGTCTTGACTGCACAGGTAGGCTTGCCCTGGCTGAGCGCCTGGCAGGAATCACTGAAGCCCTTCCCTGCAGACATCTGATTCTTCATCAGAGATATGTTCAGCTGGTCACTCCTTCAGTATCTGTATCATTCCCCTGAGGTTTTTTGTTGGAGGGTTACTTTTTTTTTATTTTAGTCATAAATCATAAAGGGGCAATGTGCAAGGTGCTACACTGTAATGACAGTGATGTAGAGACATAAACTGCAAAATTTTTCAACAGGCTCAAGGAGGCAAACTATCTGAATTATATTATTAAATGAGCCAAGCTGTGCAAAATGGGGAGCTGTTTGGTTTCAGCATTAAACCTTGTATTATTTTTTCCCTCCTGGTTTGGTTCACTATGGGCCTGCAGCCATTTTGTTTAGCAGTGGAAGGAGAGGCTTAACACTGCGGTTGGTTCCATTACTCCCCCAGCAATCCCTTCATTCCAGATCTAAAAAAGAGCAGTAAAATACCTTGAGGGAGTGGGATGTGACAACTGTGGAAGTTCTGAGCAGGCCTTGCAGTGTTCAGTGAAGAAATGATGATGAAAAGCCTACAGTATCATGCAGCCAGCCCATCTAGTCCGCTTGGGTACAGGGAGGTAATGAGAGGGTTGCCAGGTTAGTGATGGTGCAGTTGAACAGCCTCAGTGGGTTGCGGTTCACATCAAATGTGGGCACTTAAAACCTGGGTTCTCAGGATTGTGACCAAGTGTTAAGGAAGTGAGTAAATTACTTAAGGCTAGTTTAAAGAGACTATAAAGTAAATTTTTCTCCATTCATTTCTCTCAAGCTTGTTTTAAGTGTCAACATCAACAGTCTTTATTTTCAGTGCATTGTTATTACTTATGTAGAGACATAGACTTTATGCTGCCTTTCCTGGACCAAAAGATAACCCATCACCTTCACCTTTCATCTTTGTTGTTATACTGTTAAACTTATAGGACAGTGCTATATTCCAATAGCAAGTGAAGCCCAAGGTCTCGCTGGTCCTACACCTGATTATATGTAGGGATGAGAGCTAAACTCTGCAAGAGATGGTGTGAAATAGCATTAGAATGCTGAGGAGTTATTTTCTAATCTCAGGCAGTTTGTTAATCACTCAAGTGGTCAGGAAAGACATTTATCGTGGCTGCTATATCTACAAATGAGAAATTCTCATAAATTTAGTAAATTTTAGATCTTCCTGTACTCTGAGTAAAAAACACATAAATGAGACAGCTGTACATATATACTTGTGTCAATCTGTAATTAATGTGTTAAGAGGCTGTCATTTCCTTTCAGAGGCTCCCTTCCCTTTGTTTGTTATAAGGGATGCATGAGAACCTGGCTCACCTTTTCTCTACCATTTTTATTATTTCATAAACCTCTTTCTCTCTTTGCCTGTGATTAACATCCTGATGAAACTGAATCTAATTTTTAGTGTCTTGTGTGGAAGTCTTTCTATGACACAGCTGTTGCAACTCTGTATTTGGACCAATTTCTAGTAGTTCTGTATCCATTTGGAGAGGTAGTGGATAGACCCAATATAAAAATATGGAATCTAAATATATTCTGACATTCACAGGTTTTCTGTGTGTGCTGTTTTGGCTGTGACTATATAGTGGGCAGGCACCATAATGAGCTGCACAAATTATTTCCTTTTTAAGATTTAAAGAAACTAAGACCATTTTGCATGGACCACAGCATCCATGTGAAGAAAAGTTTACAAGATAATTACTATAGTTTGACCCAGTAGTGTAAAATGATAAACATGCACCTTCAATAGTATTGAACTAGCATCACTGAAATGACTCCTTGGCATAGTTGTGGAATCACGTAGGCACTGCTTTGGATTTTCAAAATGTAATTGAGAGAAATCCTCCCACATATGAAACATGTCACTTTAACTTAGTAATGTTAATATGCATGCATTCCATGTCTTTACAAGTAATGTTTCTATATGGCTATTCCATGTTCACAGATATGTCTGTATTTTAGTTAAATAACTCATAATGACTTACTATTTTTATGCATTAAGGGCTGGCTGGAGTATCAAAGATTTACTCTCAGCATAAACCTGTAAGGAAATATTTATAAAATATATTTCTTGCACCAGCAAGACTAAAAAGCAAACCACACTGCAAAAAATGAAAACTAATATACACTTTATATTTTTGTTGTTGCTTTAAAAACCAAACCAAGGTTGACTTTCCATTTAGCTCAGAGTGCATCTCTTGGAAGCCTTGTGTTTTGTTAACAAGGATGAACATTGCATGCTCTTAGCTCCTTTTTGTCTTTGCAGCTAGTAAACTGAGTACTTTTGGACCTCTTCTTTACCATCATGTAGCGTTCCTGAATCCCACCTCCACAGAGTGTAGAACATTCTGTCCAAGCAGTCCATGGCTTCAGTCTACAAACTGGAAAAAGTCATTTGAGTAAGTTTTTAGTATTTCAGCCTAACCTACTTATCTCAGTGTAAGTGTGTACACTTACAGCTTTTGAATCGGAGAGCATAGAGCCTAGTTCTTACAGTAGGAATTAAGAAACCCCAGTTAAGTGTACTCAAGGTGCATTTGTCAAACACTGAAAAACGCTTTGCTTTGGTGCTAAAAGTTTCCCTAGACTGAAATGCATGAACTGGAGCTGCTCACAAATTCCTGTCATGCAGAAAAGAAAAACAGACATAAGCATACTGAGAAATGCTTTCACACTCACCTGGATATTGCTCACTATCTATATTTTTTTTTGCTTGTTCACTTCTCCTTTTCTCCCGGGCCTCTTTCCAGCGCCTTTTTTCCATACCCGGGCCTCTCAGGCATTTCCTGACTCGACATTTTGTACGTTGGACAGTTTCTGGGCATGCTGTTCCTCCAAACTGTGGTTCTATTTTAATCATTCTTGTTCTGATCATATGGCCCTTTCCACATGAGGTATTGCATTCGGACCACTGGGACCATTCTGTTAGTTCACAGTCAATGGCTGTAAAGAATGAGAAATGTTACATGAAAGCTGTGAGATCTAAATATAAAGTCAAGATGAAACAGAGACGTGTCCAATGAGTTTTTGCACCCTGAACACAGGAAAGCAGCTTAAACCTCCAGTCTTTTCAGCAAATGTTGTGAGGCTACACATCAAAAGTTTTGGAGTCAATTTCTAGTCAGAATTACTATTTGATGCTTTCCTCAATTTCTTTTTCAAGAGTGGTCCTGGCACCAAGAAAGTATAAATAATTCTTTCCCTGTGGTTCCTGCAATTCTCTCACCCAGATGCCTGTTTTATAATGAAAAGCTGTTAAATACTGAGTTATATTCACAAAGAATCTGATGCCTCTGAGGTGTAAGCCTTGCTTTACTGGCAGTGTTGTGCAATAAGCAAGATTTGCTAATAGCTTTAAAAGTTTTCATCTTTCAGCACTACTTAAAACTTACAGCCCCAGTGAATAATAATGAAATTGAAATTTCACATAATCTAAGAAAAGCTGAATTAACAAATTAACTAATACCTTCTGTGGAAAATAACGTAATTTGTTTATAAATCCTCATAAACCAGCTGGCAACAGGACACTAAAAGCAATCATATCTCACTTGTTCAGCAGCGCCTTGGGTGCTTCACAGGACTGCAAAGCAACTAGAAATTTGGACCACCCAAGAAGGGAGCAGATTTCAGTAGAGTAAGGTTAAAAAAAAAAACCAATGCAGCTGTTTCCACAGCATCCAGTGGCTCATATGTATTCCTGGTTACAAAGGGATACGTAGATCAGTAAAAAATCTATGATACCATTCAGAGATGTATCAAAGATGGAGTGAGCCTCTTTTGTGCTCTTTGTGTGAGCTAAAAGAACCACAGAGATGTTTTTAATTCTTCTTTCCTTCCTTCCTAGAATACACACTGCATTTGAGTAAAAGAGAGGATTTATAATTCTGACTTATTTACTACTGGGAAGGGTACAGATGGTTGCCTGAAGTTTGTAGTGTGTTAAATATGCAGAAACAGTATGCACAAAGCAATACTGGTCATCAGCATAAGGTTCAGTAAGAAATGATGGTCATATTCTAGCTCTCAGTAAATGAAAATCCACGCTACTACTAATAATAATACTAATAATAAAAAGAAAAAAAAATCCATAGTTGCTATCTTGCCTAAGAGGTGATGCTAAAAACTGGTGATAGAGTTCTGACCCATAGACTTTGCCTTTCATAATTAACCTTCTCTCTCCAGAGAGTTTCCCACACTTACGGCATTCAGGCAGCATGCACTTTTCTGCTTGTTCTAGCTCCTCATTGCAGTCTCCCAGCTCAGCAGCAGATTTCAGCATCCTTTGCCGGGTTCGCATGCCCTTCCCACATGTTACACTGCAGTCGCTCCATTCAGACCAAGGCGAGAGTAGACAGGGGATGGTATCTGATATGAAAATAAAAAGGTAATGAATTTTTATTGTACATAAATTATGAAGCTACTGTATTAGTTTGAAAATAATACAGGTGGAAAATGCACTGCTTTACCTGTCATCAACCAATTATACTTTGTTGTAAACATTTGGACAAAATGAATCATAAGCTGAATGATGTTGCTAGAGTTGCTCAGAAAACACTATATTAAATTGAAAGCTTTGCCTCATTTTAATACCTTTTCTTTGCTGTCTTTCTCTATAGCCTATTTATAACTGCAGAACCCCAGTGCTCCTGGGAAATAAATAGTTTAAGAATGTATGTTTCAATCATGACTCCTATAAAAACATCCGGATTGTTGAAGTGGACTGACTGAAACTTGAGTTGATACAGTCTAAAATGTGGTAATTCCACATTTTGTCTACCAAAAATCTTTTAAAATTTATTTCTTTGTCTTTCATGAAAATCTTAACATTTCTTGACATTTAAACAATATGAATCATGGAATCATAGAATACTAAGGGTTGGAAAGGACCTTAAGATCATCTAGTTCAATAGTTACAGTAAGAATGAGACTGGCTGACCACATGAAAGGAGCACTTCAATTTCTGAACTGTTCATGAGCTAAAAGGGGAGCGCACTGTTTTATTATAGCCTTATGATTAAATACACCTCATATTCCATGAATCAGAGTTGCATAGGTATGGCTTGCTAATATGCACATTGCTGTCTGGGTAATACAGTAATAGGATACTACTGAATTTTTTTTCTCTACATCCTCATCCTGCTGGTGAAACTGTTACTTAATGCACATTCCTTAGGGGAGCTAATTTTAAGAAGAACAAGAAAAAAGCAGCATTGCTTCTTGCTTAGGTATATTATCTGTGTGATGGAGGAACATGTCAGAAATTATGCCTGTCTTTATAGCAGAGAAGAGAAACTTATGGACACATACGGCATTCAGGCATCATGCATTTCTCTGCCTCTGTGGTTTCTGCCTTGCACATGGATCCATCAGCAGGAGTCATCTTGATCATTCTGTGTCGTCTCTTCATCCCTGTGCCACAGCTAGCACTGCATTCATCCCACTCTCCCCATTCAGTGACAAGGCAGCTGCTAGGGGCTATTTAAAATGGACAGACAAAATCAGTCACTAGTAGAGCTTATATAAAAACATGGTTTGGGCAGTACTCCTGCTATTGGCTGGGTTTTACAAAACCAAATAAAATACTTACAACATTCCTCGTTTACAATACATTTCTCAGTCTCTTCAGTAGGCACTTTACACATAGAGCCATCTTCAGGGAATTGTTTTACATATCTCTCTCTAGATCGTGTTCCCATTCCACAGGAAACACTACAGGGGGACCACGTAATCCAGTCAGACATCATGCAAGTGGAACCATCTAAAACACAGAGAATCATTTCAATAGCTAATAGTAAGAGAATTGCTGATAAATCTGTAGATGCCTATTTGTGTGCAATGTCACTTTTATGCTGCCTCTCACATTCTGTGCTTTCTTGCTTGCTTACTTTGTTCCTTTCCTTTTTACTTCTATGTGCTTTGTGCACCAACTAAGATGAATCCAGTTTGTATTCTTTGGCAATTAGTCCTCTTTGCTATAGCCCAAGTCACACTGCAGCAATCAATAGCTTCAAGAACGTTAAGGGAAGAGCAAACCCTACAAGAGGTTCTCCACTTTTTCCTCTTTGTTACCTTCATCACTACAGCCTGGACCCATGCACGGCTGAAAATCTTGGGTATCTGGGCAGGGCACACTGAGATCCAGCTGAGCTTTAAGCATTCTCTGTCTCATCCTCTTGCCCTTTTCACAAGTAGAAGAGCTGCAAGCCGACCATGGAGACCAGTTTGAATATATGCAGGTCTCAGGGGTATCATCTGGAAAGTAAGAAAAGGCAGTGAATGTTAAAAATAGTCTTCCATTTGACTCTCTTTACCTGACTGGTGACTACTTTAGATGCTAGTAGGATACAGCCTTCTCTCCTGCATTTTATCTTCTCCATTTTAGCCCCCCACCCTTCAAGACTAATTGCCAACTTTCATTAAAAAAAAATAATCAAACTCCAAAAGGCTTCTCTCTTTTATCACTTGCATTGTTGTTGCAATCTTCCAGGTATGCATGCAGTTCTTTTACTGCATAAGAGAAGGCTAATTGTAAATACCAGAAAAGATGAAAACCAAAATAACTTTTTTTTGGCACTGAATAAGGCTTTTGCTCCTAAGTCAGTTTTGTACTTTATCTAAAAATGACAGCGGAAAATGGAACAAAAAGTAAATTAGTACAGCACAAACTAATTTAAAATGTACCTTCTTCTTTTTCCTCTGGTGCTAGATCTGCCACAATATCATCGATGTTGTCAGGTACGATATTGCACTGCTCCCCCTGCAAAGGGATTATTGTGTTACAGGAAACTTATACGTGTATGCAGCAAGGGGGGCTAACCCCGTGTACTGTGAGGCACTGTTGCATCTGCAGCACTTTCTCCTCTTCTCATGCCTATGCATACTTAAAAAAAATCCCCAATTAAGCAGATGCAGTTATTACCACAAGTAGGAGAAATAATACATTAAGACAGTTTTAGTTCTTTTCTGCCATAATCTTTTTTTGGCGTAGGTTAAAGAGGGTAGATTTGGGGGAAGGATTGGGTTTTTTTGTTTGTTTTATAAAGTAGGGTGTTTTGTTTGTTTAAGAATGTTATAGATATGTATTATACCTTGCGTGCAATTCTCTCAATGACAACTCTGGCTACCAGCTTGATGGATCCTCCTTCTGGATCATAAAATGGACTTTGGGGATGATCTAAGCTTGTAAGTGGTCTGATCTTTTCTTGAGGCACTGTAGGTTTGTTAGGAGACTGAAGTCAAAAAGAAAAAATTGTTAAAAAGGAAACAAATAATTATTATTAATAATACAATTCATCTGCAGAAATTAAAACTTCTCCAAAATGCGAAATTGGGAAATTTCAATCTAAGATGAACTCAGTGCAGTTGTACTTAATGGTAAGGTGTTGGATTTCTTGTTGGATTTTATTTTTTTTTTTGTCAGGGAGCACTTCTTTAACACTTTGTGATTCAACCCTGAAGCTGGGTTCACAATAAGATGTGAGTCATCTTGTGTGGTTAGACACAACTACATTGATAAAAAATATATATCCAGTATGCCTCCAGAGTCGTATTATAACTGGAGAAATTCCTTAGGTTCTAAAGAGGCCAGGTCTGAAAGAAAAAAAAAAACAGCCATCTTGTGTCACCTGAAAAGTGAGTATGTGTGGTGTTTGAGGATGTGACTCTTCTTGTCTACCATCAGCTGTCTGTACTCTCTGTAGACTCACAGTGTAGGTATGCTTGGAACCTATGGAGACCTAACCAGTTCATGAATATGACATAACTCATTTGGTCAAAACCAGGACTTTACCTGATGATGATGTGAATCTTTTCCTAGACTGAGAAAGTGATGGAGACAGAGAAAATGTATGACTTTTAGACCCTTGTAGTGATGAGAATTTCAGAGTTTCAGTCACTGTAAGGAACAGTTAAGTTTTCTGTGCAAAACAGAATAGTTGGCATTGAACTTGAAACAGTAGAAAAGGTGGTATGGCTGCTGATGGCACACAGATCTGTATCAAAGGGGTTGGACACCTTGATACTTAGTTTTGAGCAGACTAAGTCATCCATTTATTAAGTAGATGAATGTAATAATATCCTAGGTGAATGTAATATTATCCATTAATAATAATGCTCCGGGAATTCAGACGCAACAACTGACCGTAGTTGTAGCATCTGTCTAAATGAATTTTAATTCATTATGAACAAAATTTTTACAAGAGTAGTATAAAGGCATGTATGGCATTACTGTGGATCAAATAGCACTAATTCTTCACTGATTAAGATAAACTTTATGTATTTAATATATTACAAATACCTCATAGCTAATGCCACTGTCAGTGCCAGCATCCCAGGGTATTAAATCCTGAACGACTTTCTGAACCCAGCCACAGTCCTTGGTACAGAGGTCTTCAGCAGACAGACCCACGTTCCAGTCCGGACTGGGGCCGAGCATGGTGAGGAAGGACATCAGGTGCCGGTGACGATCGACAGAAAACTCAGCAGAGGGAGCAGCTCTCCTGCAAATTTGCCACAGGAAAACATGAATTTGTTTGCTGCTAGATGGAAATGAAACTGGTACTTCAGACTGGGAAATGCTGAACACTGGCACAACACTGTTTGGTACATAGAGATGGAGAAACAGGGTTGAGGGGGAGACAGCTGCTCAGCCCTGTCTAATTTCAGTCTCCAAGTGTCATCTGAGAAACAGCTCTGACATTGTTCAAGCAGATTTACAGTTTAATGGGTGAGAGAGATGTAGCAATAAAGAGCTGCTGCTGCAGCAGCAGCTTATGTCTTAGTCATATAATAATAATAGTAATAATAAAATTGAAGTAAAATAGCAGAGAAATACTGTGAGGGTTTTGATTGCTGGAGTACCTTTTACCCCAAAAAGAGAATAGAAATTCTGATGCCAAAACTGCTTGGAAGTATTACTTCTGTATGTATGCAAGAAAGCACTCATTAACAGAGTTTTAGTGCTCAGCTAAGAGATTAATGGCCACTGCCAACCCTAGAGAGTTCAGCCAAGACTGTTGTAGGCTTCTGCCAATGTATGTGAAAGAGCCCCTATTCATCCAGCCTTTGTCAGCTGTTCTCTTAGGAAGAAATCAAATCCTGCTGAATCATGAAGTGCTCTGCAATTCTGATGAGCAGCTATCCCATTCCTGTGCAGATGAAAAATAAAATCAGGCCTGAACTGGAAGTTCCTGTTCACAGATGAAAAGCTGGACCACTTCATGGCATCCTTCTGGTGAGCAACAACAAATGCAGAAGTATTTAAAATACGATTTTGGCAATTCTACTCTTCCAAATACTGGTCTGGTTGGTGTCAACCCAGGTTTTCTTCAGTTACAGGACTTGAGCCAATACAGAGTCAAATTGAAGCCTGGTTCTTTTTGTGTTTTATGCTAAAACACACTGCTTTTTGAACATCCAAATGCTTGAGTCCCTGTAAAAATGTAGCATTTCATTGGTCTATTTTTCCTGTTTAGAATCATAGAATCATAGAATAGTTAGGGTTGGAAAGGACCTTAAGATCGTCTAGTTCCACCCCCACTGCCATAGGCAGGGACACTCACACTAAACCATGCCACCCAGTTCATAGCATTCTCAGCATATTAGAAAACTGAACAGCGCAAAGACCATGATTTCGAGTAGTTATCACAGTTTTACATGTAAGATATCTAAAAAGTAGTGTTTCTAGCTCATCCTCAAGAGGCATATGAAGAAGCAGGCATTTGCTAATGGGTGAAATGTTCTGGCCACTTCTGTTCCAGTGTTTCTTACTGCATAAAGTCCTTGAATTAAGGACTCTGAGTAGAACAGTTTCTAAAAGTGATGAGATTAATCCTGCCTTTCGCAGAAAGAGATGCCAGTGACTCAATGACACATTTATTTGTTCAATTGAGCAACTTATCTAATGTAAAGTAATAAATAATGAATGATGGTACCAACTTCAATCTGTGAGTACAGTATCCTGATACATTTGTCAAGTACATAGCAGTGATTAGTCTTAAAAATCCTGCCAGCTGACTTCAATTAACTAAAGGATTTACTGCATTACATGGGTTTATAAGAATGCCCTATAGGAATTTTGTACTTGAAGCAGTACACAGCAGAAGTCAAACCAGTAAGAAATGTGTTTGCATACACGATCTTTAGATTAAGAATATATCTAATATGGACATAGCAGATGCAGAATAAAGTTGCTGGTCAGCTCTTGCAGGGAAAAGCAAAGGCCGTGTGGAGCTGCTCACTACTGCATCCAGCACCTGAACTGATACTACTGAGTTGGTATGTATTGTGTGACACGACACTCACTGCTCTGTGCACATGTGCTCAGGAAAAACAAGAGGCAGATACAGTCATACCATTTAAAAGCAGAGGGTTGGAAATCACTTTATACACATAAGAATGGAAAACTTTTGTCACCTGTTATTCTTGTGGTAGACACATATAATTAAAGCTTTGAGTACTTTGTTAGGAAAGTAAATATTAATTGTGTTATTCATATGAATAAAAATACTTGTGTAGTTAAATTAAACTCTATCAACATTGAAACTGTGTAAAGGAACACTTCAGGAGATGTGCTTTGCCTGCAAATCTTTGCATGTGTTAAATTATATCAGGAGATCTGCAGCTTGCATCATTTTCCAATTACAGAGCACTGAAAAAAATTACCTATCTTCTGCTCCTTCTTTAAGACAAATAGGTGGTTTTATGGCCGTTTTACTGTATTTCATCCTGTAGCTGTTTAACAGAAATGTGAAGGAATAGAGGATGAATGTTTTTCTCTTTTTTCCTCAACTCTTGTTCAGACAATAATGAAGTATTTATATATTATCATAAAATGTATTTGTTACACTTGCTACTATATTAATTTATGTGTGGTACCTGCAAGCAGTGTGAATAATTTGAACCACAGATGTGTAATGCTGCCCAACATTCAGAGTCCTTCTTGAGCTGCTGTAATTAAGGAGGAGAAATGGGCTGATCTAAGGCACGGTTAGTAAATACTGCCTGGGCATAGGGACAGGCACTGACTGGTCTTTTACAATCTTAAATGAACTTTAGTGGGTTTTATTTACTAGGGTTTTTAATGAAGTGACAGATTTCAGATGTTTGCAGTCTCCACACAAATGACAATTGGCAGGAACCTAAATCCTTCCAGGCATACCCCAACAACACGTCAGGCTCAAGTGTCCTAAGATTTGCCTATGGATATTCTGAAGGAATCTAGTGATATGCAAGTGCATCCTAAACCTGGCCTTTTTCATTTCTGTATTGTCAACACACGTGATGAAACCGGAATGTAGATCGTCGTCTCTATCTCTGCTTTCAATATAAGAATATATTATCACTTTAAGGCTCTTAAATATTTAAGAGAGTGTTCTTCTGTGACAGGTTGAGCATGTTTGGTAATGCCCACAGGAAAAGCCTAAAGTTTCTAACAGATGTGAATTTGCTGTGAGACCAACATGTTCCTTTTCCTTCCTTTTCACATATACATGCACAAAAACAATGGCAAATAGGAGTTGCAGATCAAATCCTAAACATCAGGTGAGTTCTAGGTGACAAGCCTGAGAATCCCACAGGCCTAGGGAATCCTGCTTTCATTAGCTGAAGCAGACAGTACTTTTCCACTGTGAGCCTGATCCACCTTGCTCACAATTCCTGTTACATAGTACAGGGTGAAGGAAAGTACCAGATAGTGTCCTGCACTCTAATGTTTTCCATTTTCTCTATTTTTATTCTATGTATGTTCTTTTATTTTAGCATGATTTGGATCTCCAGCTATAGGGATGACACATACTGAGCAGCACAAGGAAATGCTCTTTTTTCCCATGGGTTATTGTTGGTTGGTTATATTTGTTTCTGGTTTTATATGTATATGTTTCTGTTGTGGGTTGCTTGTTTTTTTTTTTTAATTTGAAAGAACACAAACAAGGTTTTGCTTTACATGCTTTGCCCCTAAGTGACAATCTAGTTGCTGTCACTGCTGGGGTGGGAGGTTAAGAAAGCCTTTGACAAACCAACAGAAACCTCAGCCTGCTGCAAGATGTATTTCTGAGTGTTGATCTGATTGTGTTGTGTTCTATTGATACCCCCATACAAGGTGATGGAGCTCACACAAGGAAGGTGAATAGAAATATTGAAAATAATATTTTCAGGATGTAAAACTTTTAGGTTACTTTTGATTTAATATTTGATTAGTATAAAAGAAGTAGAAAAAGGCAGCCTGAGCATGTACTCTTTGTCTCTATGATATGAGCTAGCTCAAAAAATTAGACTATTTATAGAGTTTTGGAATCAATGTGAATTATACTTCCTGGATGCTATGTGTACTACGTTTGTGTAAGACAGACATTTGCCTCACCCATGCTTAAAGCCTATTATGTAAGGACAGATCTGAATGGAACTGCTTTATAGTTATCCAAATTCTGACTTTGGCGGTAGGTACAAAATAATGTTGTCATTAAATGAGCATATTTAACAGAACAGGAGAGGGTAAAATACTGATTGTTATGATGGTTCTTTGAAATAAAATTCTACATCAGTTATTCTTCTATATTTTATGCTGGGGGAAGATCTAATTGATTTCATGGATATAATAACTCTACAGGGCATATGGTAGTTTGAAATAGCATGTAATTCTTCAGGTTTCTTCATAGAGCTGTATTAAGGTGCAATTATCCTAAGCCCATTTTTAGAGTCTGGATACCAGGTTCCTTTGAATATGCCAGGATCTGATCTCACTTGTGCTAAGGCTAAACTAAGTAGCTATTTCAAATAGGAAGAAAAAAGTGTACACGCAAGAGAAGCCCCTCTAAGTCTGATGCCTGTTTGAGGTTTAGTGTCAGTTCTAGCTGGCACTGAGAATGTGAAAACACTATTATTTTAAGCAGAGAGTTTAACTCATAGACCATGAAAACTGCATATTTTAGGAAAATGGTAAATTAATTGCCAATTATACCTCTAGTCAGCAAAAGTAAAATCCTTCTTTCTCAGAGGCTTACACTGCATCTCATATACACTTCCCAGGATGAACACGATTTATTCATCTGTAAACCCTTTTGCTATTGATACTAACAGTATAAGCATGGAAACACATTTCACACCCCTGAACTTCCAGCTCTTTACCTCCTGCCTACCAGCAGCACCTACACAACATCTGTTTTATTGAATAAACTTTAAAGTCATAACATCCTGAAAAGTTTACTAGTTTCAAAGAAAAAAGAAGAAAATGAATATCTAAAATTAAATCTAAAATACGACTCTCATAGAGGTCTACAACTAAAAGAACTATTTTGATGTCATATTTAGATGCTGTATTATTAAGTATACTATTTAGGAAATGATGCAAAAGAATTAAGGCCATTACATGAACAATAAAGTTTTTTCCACATGTATCAACACTTGAACATGGAAACAGAATTTCAGAGTTGCACAGAGGAAGGGGAGAATCCTGTTTAAGTTCTGCTTAAATGCAGGGTGAGTAAGCATTTAACCTAATGAA